AAGAAAGAAAGAAAGAAAGAAAGAAAGAAAGAAAGAAAGAAAGAAAGAGAAAGAATAGCAGCTCCTACCTGTTAAAAATGTTTGGTAAACAATATGGAAACTAGGACATACTAAAAATCTATAGTTGCTTATAGAGGAAGTGGTTTGTTTTCTGGGACTTGTTGCAGAAGTAGCCAGCGTATGGAGTGCAGTTCTTATCTTAGTTTTATGACATGGCTCTAAGTCCCTCCTATTTTGCACTTGGAGAAAGATGCTGCCGTTAGCGGGCATGCAGTGCAACAAAACTATATTCTCTGTGTACAAAATGCGGGCGATGTTATTAAACGTGATCATTTTTACTTTCTACAGAAGACAGCAGACATACAGAAACAATCAGAAATGTGTTTTAATGCTTGACAGTCTCATGCATGAATGAGTTCATTTTGTTACCTTGAAAAAAAAATCATTTTGCTTCATTGCCATATTTCTAGGTCCAGGTTTGAAGAACCAAATTTCAGTGGAAGGTTTGGAGCTACTTTCTGACTTGATTGGTATATTTCTACCTATTTTTTAAAATCTCCCCCACCCCCCTGCCCCTACTTCTTTCTGCTCTGCTCTGCTCTGCACTGTCTCTAATGTTTCTTTAAAAGATTGGAGGCTCAGGGGGAAGGGGAGTGGAAATCCCATTAAGGCCTTGTATGAAAAAAGCTAATGGAGAAAGACTAAAACCTTTTGGGTTTGATAGTACCTAATGTTTTGTTCTGTCCAGCCAGCCATCTGCAACTCCACACTCCCTGCTGAGGAACTGGCCGGGAGACAAAGCAATGGGAAACGGTGAAGGAGTCGCCCCCGTGATGTGAGCAGAGAGCTTTTGGCAGTAGCCCGGCTGAATTAAGACCACAATCCTTTTCGGAAATCAGTCTAAAATGAACTCTTCACAATAAACATGAAATTAAAAGCATGATGTACTAGTGACTCAGAAGGAATGTGAGCGCTTCTCCAGGAACTGCCGAGTCCCCGTGGACGAACCGTGTCTGGATCATTCCACATTTCCTGCGAGTAAGTGAACCTCTAACCCTGTGGTGTTGCCGCCTATGGAAATATCACCTACGACTTCCAACGGGGAATGCCAAACATTTGGATGGAAACTATTAAGTGCAGTAAGTTATTAATGACTCCTTTTGATTTGTCAAATCATCTGAGTGGTTTCTATTGTAAGGCTAAATAATCCCTTGGAGAACTAAGATCCACCCCCCCTTTTCTCATTTTTACCCCGTAACTAAAGCATATTTGAACCAAATGACATATATTAGCTAATAGGCTATTGGAGAAATGGAAAGAAATGTAACGTTCTGTTCCCTCTTTGCAATTAGGAGTTACTTCCTACGTTATTAGACTTAATTCTTTTTTTGTTTGTTTTCAGTGTTACTGCCAGAGGATTTGTAAGCATGGGGGGGGGGGGGGAGGGGGGGG